AGGGGTGTTATCTCCATGGAACAGCTAGCAGACTGATGCTCACAGAGTAGTGTTCGCATCTTAGTAGTTACAGAAATAGGTTTCCAACGTCTCTCTTAAGCATTGGAACAAGCAATAACATTAAGAGAGCTTTCCTACACCCTGTGACCTGTCACCAAGTACCAAGAACTGACAGTCTCCCCGAGATCCTGTTCGAGGTGGCTCTGGGGAAACCAAGTTTTATATGTGTTTTAATTTTGACTATTTAGTTTAAGACTATGACGATGAACTGTATGTATTACAAAATGTCGTCATACCCAATTTAAAATGTGACTACTTGACCAATGGACAACCCGTTCTTGGCGTGCACATGTCTGAAAAACGATATGATATCACGAACTTCTGTCATGGGGTCATCCAAAGGCCCCGTCATCATTGCCCCTTTGGACAAAGGATTGTGGTTTAAAAACTAGAACGCCCGTGTTGAAGGGAAGTTACATTGTTTTTAATTAGAAGCCCTTTACACCTAACAGAAGCTTTCTATGAGGATAGTCGTGACTGGGTATGAGGATAGTCGTGACTGGAGGTATGAGGATAGTCAAGACTGGATATGATGATAGTCAGGACTGGGTATGAGGATAGTCAAGACTGGGTATGAGGATAGTCAAGACTGGGTATGAGGATAGTCGTGACTATAGGTATGGGTATGAGGATAGTCGTGACTAGGTATGAGGATAGTCGTGACTAGGTATGAGGATAGTCGTGACTGGGTATAAGGATAGTCAAGACTGGATATGATGATAGTCAGGACTGGGTATGAGGATAGTCAAGACTGGGTATTAGGATAGTCGTGACTAGGTATGGGGATAGTCGTGACTGGGTAGGAGGATAGTCGTGACTGGGTATGAGGATAGTCGTGACTAGGTATGAGGATAGTCGTGACTGGGTATGAGGATAGTCAAGACTGGGTATGAGGATAGTCAGGACTGGGTATGAGGATAGTCAAGACTGGGTATGAGGATAGTCAGGACTGGGTATGAGGATAGTCAGGACTGGGTATTAGGATAGTCGTGACTAGGTATGAGGATAGTCGTGACTGGGTATGAGGATAGTCAAGACTGGATATGATGATAGTCAGGACTGGGTATGAGGATAGTCAAGACTGGGTATTAGGATAGTCAAGACTGGGTATTAGGATAGTCAGGACTGGGTATGAGGATAGTCAAGACTGGGTATGAGGATAGTTAAGACTGGGTATGAAGATAATCAGGACTGGGCATGAGGATAGTTAAGACTGGGTATGAGGACAGTCAGGACTGGGCATGAGGATAGTCAGGACTGGGCATGAGGATAGTTAAGACTGGGTATGAGGAAAGTTAAGACTGGGTATGAGGATAAGTCAGGACTGGGTATGAGGATAGTCAGAACTGGGCATGAGGATAGTCAGGACTGGGTGTGAGGATAGTCGTGACTAGGTATGAGGATAGTCGTGACTAGGTATGAGGATAGTCGTGACTAGGTATGAGGATAGTCGTGACTGGGTATGAGGATAGTCTGACTAGGTATGAGGATAGTCGTGACTGGGTATGAGGATAGTCAAGACTGGATATGATGATAGTCAGGACTGGGTATGAGGATAGTCAAGACTGGGTATGAGGATAGTCATACTGTATGAGGATAGTCGTGACTAGGTATGAGGATAGTCAGTCGTGACTGGGTATGAGGATAGTCAGACTGGGTATGAGGATAGTCAGGACTGGGTATTAGGTATGAGGATGAGGATAGTCGTGACTGGGTATGAGGATAGTCAAGACTGGGAGATAGATATGAGGATAGTCAGGACTGGGTATGAGGATAGTCAGGACTGGGTATTAGGATAGTCAAGACTGGGTATGAGGATAGTCAAGACTGGGTATGAGGATAGTCAAGACTGGGTATGAGGATAAGGATAGTCAGGACTGGGTAGGACTGGGCATGAGGATAGTTAAGACTGGGTATGAGGATAGTCAGGACTGGGTATGAGGATAGTCAGGACTGGGGATAGTTATGAGGATAGTCAGTGACTGGGTATGAGGATAGTCAGGACTAAGACTGGGTATGAGGATAGTCAAGACTGGGTATGAGGATAGTCAGGACTGGGTATGAGGATAGTCAGGACTGGGGATAGTCAGGACTGGGTATATGAGGATAGTCAGGACTGGATATGAGGATAGTCAGGACTGGGCATGAGGATAGTGAGGACTGGGTATGAGCATAGTCAAGACTGGGTATGAGGATAGTCAGGACTGGGTATAGGATAGTCAGGATGAGGATAGTCAGGACTGGATAGTCAGGACTGAGCATGAGGATAGGCAGGACTGGATATGAGGATAGTCATGACTGGGCATGAGGATAGTCAGGACTTGGTATGAGGTTAGTCTGGACTGGACATGAGGATAGTTAAGACTGGACATGAGGATGGTCAGGACTGGATATGAGGATAGTCATGACTGGGCATGATGATAGTTAAGACTGGGTATGAGGATAGTCAGGAGTGGGCATGAGGATAGTCAGGACTGGGTATGAGGATAGTCAGGACTGGGTTTGAGGATTGTCAGGACTGGATATGAGGATAGTCAGGACTGGGTATGAGGATAGTCAGGACTTGAAATGAGGATAGTCAGGATTGGGTATGAAGATAGTCAAGACTGGGTATGAGGATAGTCAGGACTGGGTATATTCTGCACTGGCGTGTTATGTGTAAGGAAATTCCGTGTTAAAAAGCAACATGATTTTGAAGATGGAATGAAGAGTGGCTTGTTATGCTAAATCATACTCATAATCATAATTATAATCATAATCATACTAATATCGTATGGAAGAAACGGTTTGCTATTTCGGTACCTCCGAAATGTGCTACAGGTTTTAGGCTATTTCCTATGGTTTAGCTTTGTTGAAAATCACCCGTGTTATAGTCTGAATATGGATGTACAGAGACTCTTCGTATAGTAAATTAATTGCTTGAATGTTAGGGAACAAGATACTCTACTGATATCCGATACGAACAATGCTGCCAGATGTGCCAGTACATTCTCAGGCTATTTCCACAGGGACGTTTATATAGAGAGCCCTTTTTAGGGGGCACTTTTTATGTTATTATTTGGTGGAGGAAAGAGTATAATAAGTTAAACCCGATTATTTTGATTCTCAATGTGCCACAGACTACTTCTAAAGATATTTTTGTGCAGAAAGCAGCTCTTGTGTTATAACTGCGGGAACACTATTGTTGAATAGGCTATAAACAGACGAAGCAATTTGTGTTGTGTAAAACATTTTATTCACCATTACCCAGAGTGAATAAATATAATAACAATAACTTAGAGAATACAATAGTAAATCCGCTTATATATTAAGACGGGGAAGTAAAACACGACCTCAAGTACAGAAGGAAATCGAAGATGTAGTGGTGTGTAAAATACAGGAGGAAATTGAATATAGTATATTATTTGCGAGGAAATTGAAGAAGACATTTCAGATTGAAATGTAAATTTATGTATGTGGTGAGCGGATCAGTCTTGTTAAGATTAGTACAGTCATTTTCTATGGGTTTCTTTAAATGAATGCAACTGTATATGTTATTGAAACTCTTTTTATCAAATTATTCTATATAGCCAACTACTGTAGCCATCTTTTCATATAAGGATTTTTGAAGTGTCACCAAATGGTAGGGGTGCACTGTTTTATAAATACTTTGGTCTGATTTGAACAAGTACGACCTGTATACAGGCCTAAAATCTACTGTAGACAGTCACGACTGTCCAGAAGCAATGTAGCTAGGTGACGACCCGCTTGCCCACTGACGTGGTGATTGGTTGGTTGAAAGTCACAACTAGAACAAACTGAATGGCGTCTCTTTGTAGAGTAACATCAGACCTCGGCAGGAGACAACAAGCAATCTTACATAAATATTTTACGAATTCAGAATGGTATGGAATGCAGTGTTTAGACTGAGAAAGGGTGGAAAATAGAATAACTTGGTTTTCCTTATATCGTGTAAAACTTGCGAGGACTCAAGCGGGGATGATACCAGGTTCTGAAAAACCCAGTCACGTGCCAGCGGTCAACCACACCATATAGCAGGAGACACAGTCAGGCCGCTTGTCATGGGAAGTACATCAGGGAGGGTGAAGGATGGTAGCCTCTATTGAAGGCTAAAAAGGCTAGTGAGGGTGATGCCATTACACAGTTACACACCGAAACCAATAAAATGTGAACACTATGTCATGGGCGAAAGAAAGATAATTAAATGTAACCTTGAACCATCTTTACATGACATTCGAGCATGGCATTACGTTTATCAAATTCCAACCAAAATCTGCGCGGTAAGAATGGGCAATACATCGGTCAACAAGCACGTGACCTCTGAATATAGTGGCATACAAACTCGCGGGAATACAGAACAAGAAACATATGGCTGAAAGTTAGAGGAGATATGTTGAATATTAAGTTCTCACATGTGTAAATGGCCCAACGAAGTATACCTATCGACACACAAGAAACATTCACTTGTGGTTTGGTTGTGCTCGTCTACCTCACTCACCCCGATCCTTCATGTGTCGGACCAGAACGGGCATACAACGGTTTTCTTTGATTGCTGAAAATATGTTTAATGGTTGATGTCATCTATCTAAGGGTATTATTAGATACTATACGTGATTTCAGTTTGTGCGGTAGAATACCGATTTATTCTAAGAATGAACTCAGTAAAATATTTACGGGAATGACTGAATGTGCTTTTTAGTAAAATACCAGTAGTTGAAAATACGACTTTGTTACTGCCACCAGAAACACGGGTCAAATGAGTTGGGGAAGAGGGCCTGGGGATTCGACAGAGCAGTCAGAGTATTTGGTGATATAAAACTGATCATTGATAACTGATGGTACATATATAATGTAGTACTGAATATTATACACTCGGTTAATAAACTAACTCCAGGTAATCTCAAGGTTGCAGGATTACCCTGAAAACGACTGGAAATATGTTACATTTCTTCAGACAAAACTGGAGGTCGTGGTCTGTTGTCAAAGCGATAGTTTTGCTCATTCTGCCGGTCAGATTCGGCTAGCATTTCAACAGCCTCTGTCTCGTTAGCCGTATCTGAAGACTGGAGGTGTCCAAAGCAATCAAAAATGTCATATTTCCTTGATATCCATCCCCTAGTAAACAAGAGTTTGGTTCCTACTGACACCGATATTATGAGGAAGAATCCGATTACAGCAATCAGCGTGCGGAAGGGAAATAGCTGGCCATCCGTTTTGTTGTACAGGGGGTAGCGTATGACGGCAGGGAAGTTGATGAGCTTAGCGCCACTACACGCCCGCAGGATGAACGCCACCACAAACCCCACAAACGATCCATATGCGTTACAGCTGCTGATGTAGAGAACGCAGATGAACTGCGGGAAGAGAATGACGTACATCAAATCAGAGCAGAGGATGAAAAGTCCATATACACTCTTTACAACGATGGCGATGACAGCAGCAAGAGCACCCGTAACAACGATGGCCACTCTCATGACCCACACCATCTCCCGATCCGAGGCCTGCAACAGATGTAAAGCAGAAAGTAAAGATACATTCAGACAGACATTAATGTGATATACTGAGATTCCTTGTCAAATGAGTGTAACAGTAGTGAGATCTGTTTAAATCTGACACCAAGATGCATGTTACTGACACAACATCACTTCTGCATCGGTTGCAGACGTTGCTTACGTTTTGTCTCACGATGCTCTTGTAGATGTTCTTGGTGAAGACTGAAGCCGTGCAGAGCGTGCTGGAGTCTGTGGATGACATGACGGCTGCTGAGACCGCGCCCAGTCCTAGGATGGACACAGTCATGGGGCAGAGATACTGCAAGGCCATGGGCAGGATAAAGTGCATCTGTTCCACGGTAAGCGGGATCTCACCCATATAACCAGTCTGATTCCAATCTGGGAATTAAAGTGTACATGTGACAATTATTAATAAATACAAAAATATAAAACTTCACCTTTTGTGGTCTCTGTATGTAAACTGTTTAACGTTAAAAAGTAACGTGAATTGAAGATTCATGTCACTCGCGGCATGTCCGCTATATCGTGATTACAACAAGTTACACACAAGTTCTAATTCAATATAGAATGTATAGAACCGGAAGACAATTGACAGTAAAATGATTGGCTATCACATGTTTATATTTAAAAGAAGCATGTCTCCCTAGTATTGCTGGTGATCTATAGCCTGTTTTGTATTGTAATGTCCTAAATAGTATATACTTTTACGTCACATGCTAGTTTTAAATCTCTCACTGTGATATTCTAATTCTTTTACTGTCCTTCGCAGACAGATTTGAGATATAACAGTATATATTATTTAAATAGGACCCGTTTAAGTGACGATATGACTGAAATACAATGTATTGCCAAAGTGACTATAAATTTTAACTCACTAACTAAAAGAAGCATGTAAACATGAAATGATATCACAAAACCTAAGAACGCATTATGTGGACCATGTGGACGTACATCTAGCACTTGCATGGTTCCCCAGCAGGATATACTCCCCCTCTCTAGATACTGGTGATTGTATGGTTCCCCAGCAGGATATACACCTTCCCTCTAGATACTGGTGATTGTATGGTTCCCCAGCAGGATATACTCCCCTCTCTAGATACTGGTGATTGTATGGTTCCCCAGCAGGATATACACCTTCTCTCTAGATACTGGTGATTGTATATACACCTTCTCTGGTGATTGTATGGTTCCCAGCAGGATATACACCTAGATACTGGTGATTGTATGGTTCCCCAGCAGGATATACACCCTCTCTCTAGATACTGGTGATTGTATGGTTCCCCAGCAGGATATACACCCTCTCTAGATACTGGTGATTGTATGGTTCCCCAGCAGGATATACACCTTCTCTCTAGATACTGGTGATTGTATGGTTCCCCAGCAGGATATACACCCTCTAGATACTGGTGATTGTATGGTTCCCCAGCAGGATATACACCTTCTCTCTAGATACTGGTGATTGTATGGTTCCCCAGCAGGATATACACCCTCTCTCTAGATACTGGTGATTGTATGGTTCCCCAGCAGGATATCCTCTCTAGATACTGGTGATTGTATGGTTCCCCAGCAGGATATACTCCCCTCTCTAGATACTGGTGATTGTATGGTTCCCCAGCAGGATATACACCTTCTCTCTAGGTGATTGTATGGTTCCCCAGCAGGATATACACCTTCTCTCTAGATACTGGTGATTGTATGGTTCCCCAGCAGGATATACACCTTCTCTCTAGATACTGGTGATTGGGTTCCCCCAGCAGGATATACAGGTGATTGTATGGTTCCCAACAGGATATACCCTTCTCTCTAGATACTGGTGATTGTATGGTTCCCCAGCAGGATATACACCCTCTCTCTCTAGATACTGGTGATTGTATGGTTCCCCAGCAGGATATACACCTTCTCTAGATACTGGTGATTGTATGGTTCCCCAGCAGGATATACACCTTCTCTCTAGATACTGGTGATTGTATGGTTATACCCCTCTCTAGCAGGATATACACCCCCTCTCTAGATACTGGTGATTGTATGGTTCCCCAGCAGGATATACACCCCTCTCTAGATACTGGTGATTGTATGGTTCCCCAGCAGGATACTGGTGATTGTATGGTTGTATGGTTCCCAGGGATATACACCTCTCTCTAGATACTGGTGATTGTATGGTTCCCCAGCAGGATATACACCCTCTCTCTAGATACTGGTGATTGTATGGTTCCCCAGCAGGATATACACCCTCTCTCTAGATACTGGTGATTGTATGGTTCCCCAGCAGGATATACACCCTCTCTCTAGATACTGGTGATTGTATGGTTCCCCAGCAGGATATACACCCTCTCTCTAGATACTGGTGATTGTATGGTTCCCCAGCAGGATATACACCCTCTCTCTAGATACTGGTGATTGTATGGTTCCCCCAGCAGGATATACACCCTCTCTCTAGATACTGGTGATTGTATGGTTCCCACCCTCTCTCTAGCAGGATATACATTGTATGGTTCCCAGCAGGATATACACTCTAGATACTGGTGATTGTATGGTTCCCCAGCAGGATATACACCCTCTCTCTAGATACTGGTGATTGTATGGTTCCCAGCAGGATATACACCCTAGATACTCTAGATACTGGTGATTGTATTGTATGGTTCCCCAGCAGGATATACACCCTCTCTCTCTAGATACTGGTGATTGTATGGTTCCCCAGCAGGATATACACCCTCTCTCTCCCCAGCAGGATATACACCCTCTCTAGATACTGGTGATTGTATGGTTCCCCAGCAGGATATACACCCTCTCTCTAGATACTGGTGATTGTATGGTTCCCCAGCAGGATATACACCCTCTCTCTAGATACTGGTGATTGTATGGTTCCCCAGCAGGATATACACCCTCTCTCTAGATACTGGTGATTGTATGGTTCCCCAGCAGGATATACACCCTCTCTCTAGATACTGGTGATTGTATGGTTCCCCAGCAGGATATACACCCTCTCTCTAGATACTGGTGATTGTATGGTTCCCCAGCAGGATATACAGGATATACACCCTCTCTCTAGATACTGGTGATTGTATGGTTCCCCAGCAGGATATACACCCTCTCTAGATACTGGTGATTGTATGGTTCCCCAGGATATACACCCTCTCTCTAGATACTGGTGATTGTATGGTTCCCCAGCAGGATATACACCTCTCTCTAGATACTGGTGATTGTATGGTTCCCCAGCAGGATATTGTATGGTTCCCAGCAGGATATACCCTCTCTAGATACTGGTGATTGTATGGTTCTTGGATATACACCCTCTCTCTAGATACTGGTGATTGTATGGTTCCCCAGCAGGATATACACCCTCTCTCTAGATACTGGTGATTGTATGGTTCCCCAGCAGGATATACACCCTCTCTCTAGATACTGGTGATTGTATGGTTCCCCAGCAGGATATACACCCCCTCTCTAGATACTGGTGATTGTATGGTTCCCCAGCAGGATATACACCCTCTCTCTAGATACTGGTGATTGTATGGTTCCCCAGCAGGATATACACCCTCTCTCTAGATACTGGTGATTGTATGGTTCCCCAGCAGGATATACACCCTCTCTCTAGATACTGGTGATTGTATGGTTCCCCAGCAGGATATACACCCTCTCTCTCTAGATACTGGTGATTGTATGGTTCCCCAGCAGGATATACACCCTCTCTCTAGATACTGGTGATTGTATGGTTCCCCAGCAGGATATACACCCTCTCTCTAGATACTGGTGATTGTATGGTTCCCCAGCAGGATATACACCCTCTCTCTAGATACTGGTGATTGTATGGTTCCCCAGCAGGATATACTCCCCCTCTCTAGATACTGGTGATTGTATGGTTCCCCAGCAGGATATACACCCTCTCTCTAGATACTGGTGATTGTATGGTTCCCCAGCAGGATATACTCCCCCTCTCTAGATACTGGTGATTGTATGGTTCCCCAGCAGGATATACACCTTCTCTCTAGATACTGGTGATTGTATGGTTCCCCAGCAGGATATACTCCCAGGATATACTCTCTCTAGATACTGGTGATTGTATGGTTCCCCAGCAGGATATACACCTTCTCTCTAGATACTGTTGATTGTATGGTTCCCCAGCAGGATATACACCCTCTCTCTATATACTGGTGATTGTATGGTTCCCCAGCAGGATATACACCCTCTCTCTAGATACTTGTGATTGTATGGTTCCCCAGCAGGATATACACCTTCTCTCTAGATACTGGTGATTGTATGGTTCCCCAGCAGGATATACACCCTCTCTCTAGATACTGGTGATTGTATGGTTCCCTAGCAGGATATACACACTCTCTCTAGATACTGGTGATTGTATGGTTCCCCAGCAGGATATACACCCTCTCTCTAGATACTTGTGATTGTATGGTTCCCCAGCAGGATATACACCCTCTCTCTAGATACTGGTGATTGTATGGTTCCCTAGCAGGATATACACACTCTCTCTAGATACTGGTGATTGTATGGTTCCCCAGCAGGATATACACCCTCTCTCTAGATACTTGTGATTGTATGGTTCCCCAGCAGGATATACACCCTCTCTCTAGATACTGGTGATTGTATGGTTCCCCAGCAGGATATACACCTTCTCTCTAGATACTGGTGATTGTATGGTTCCCCAGCAGGATATACTCCCCCTCTCTAGATACTGGTGATTGTATGGTTCCCCAGCAGGATATACACCCTCTCTGTAGATACTGGTGATTGCATGGTTCCCCAGCAGGATATACACCCTCTCTCTAGATACTGGTGATTGTATGGTTCCCCAGCAGGATATACACCCTCTCTCTAGATACTGGTGATTGTATGGTTCCCTAGCAGGATATACACACTCTCTCTAGATACTGGTGATTGTATGGTTCCCCAGCAGGATATACACCCTCTCTCTAGATACTTGTGATTGTATGGTTCCCCAGCAGGATATACACCCTATCTCTAGATACTGGTGATTGTATGGTTCCCCAGCAGGATATACACCCTCTCTCTAGATACTGGTGATTGTATGGTTCCCCAGCAGGATATACACCCTCTCTAGATACTGGTGATTGCATGGTTCCCCAGCAGGATATACACCCTCTCTCTAGATACTGGTGATTGTATGGTTCCCCAGCAGGATATACACCCTCTCTAGATACTGGTGATTGTTTGGTTCCCCAGCAGGATATACACCCCCTCTCTAGATACTGGTGATTGTATGGTTCCCCAGCAGGATATACACCCTCTCTCTAGATACTTGTGATTGTATGGTTCCCCAGCAGGATATACACCCTCTCTCTAGATGCTGGTGATTGTATGGTTCCCCAGCAGGATATACACCCTCCTCTAGATACTGGTGATTG